CTGGAGCCTGGAAGAGGTCAGGAGCAGGGCCCTCCCCTGCCTGGTGGGCAGCGGGTGGGGGCAGTCGGGCCACAGCCCTTCTGACCTGCCCAGCCCCAGAAGAAAAGCAAGCGGGGGCTGCCCCTGGACCTCCTAAAATCCTGGCTGTTGGAGCATTTTCCTCCAGACTGACCTTCCCTACACGGAGATGGAAATGAGCCGCGGTAGCCCTTGGCCCTGAACTCGGCTGGCTGCCTGCTCCTGTGGCCTGGCTTCAGGAAACAGGAGGAGGTGAGGAAATCAGCTCTAAGGAAACCCCGAGAGCCAGAGAGAATGACCGCAGTCGTGAGGCACGGGGGTGGGGACCAGACTCGGGCGTCTGATAAGTAGGTTCATTAGCTCGCTGACCCTGCTGACCTACCCAGGAAGCCCAAGGCAAGGCCTCTTCGTGCAGGCATGGCCGCTCCCCAGGCCAGAAGCGCAGACGGAACCAGAAGACGCCTTCTACAAGCCGAGGGAAGCGCAGGTGTGAGTGTGGGCCCTGCTTGTCTCTGTCCTGGGGGATGTTTGCTGGGAAGAGATTTATCTGGAAATGTGAATCAGGTCATTCTCCATCCACAGTCGTGTTGGCGATAAAAGGCCTGATGCGTCAGGGAACTGCAGAAAGCAATCTGGAGGAAAACAGGTTCCTTGCGCCCCTTCACGGGAAGATCAGCTCATGGGTAGGGAATGTGATTTTGAATCTGGACGATGGTGACGTCTGTTGCTTTATTCCAGGCAGCTGCCAAGCAATCAGCAGACGGCAGGGACCGCCAGGCATACCAGGACATGACCTGCCACGTCCCCACTGTGAGCCAACGCTGGCTTAGGCTTGAGCCGGGCTGCAGGTCTTGAACCTCCCACATCTCTGGGCAAATCCAAGGACCTCGCAGTGACTCCATAGCCTGCCCCTTGTCCTAAGGCCTCCTTCTCACCATGATGCCGACTGCGGCCCCTCCCAACTCCACACCTGCAGGGACTCACCAGTGTCAGGCTTGGGCAGAATCCTCTTCTCCCAAGTGACCCAGGGGCAGTATCCCCACAGCCCGCAGATTCCTTCTGCATCACCCTCACAGTGAGGCCACCGGACAGTGACGTCGGGCTGATTCCCCGACTCTGCTGGCTCCGTTTCCTTCTGTGGCACAGCTCACCCTGTGGCTTATGGACCCTGTGGCTTATTGATTATGTTTACCGTTTGTTTCCCCCAGAACGCGAGCCTCACGAGGGAGGAGCGCCGTCTCTCACCTCTGCCTCTGAAGGGCAAACGCGCCACAGGTGTGTTCCCATCAGACCTGGCTCCTCCAGTGGGCGCTGCCCTCCCATCCTTCCCAGGACCCTGACACCAGGGCAGAAGGTTGGCATGGGAGGCCAGACCTGTGGATAAGGGCTGGGGCGGACTCAGCGACTCCACCACCTCTGACAAACTCCAGGCCCGAACAGAAAGACGGCCTCAGCTCTGGGATGCTCGTGTGTGTGTGTGTGTGTGTAAACCACAGGCGCTCTCCGTGACTTACGGGGACAGCACCAGCCTGAAGGGGAGCCCCAGAGCCGTGGCCCCACTGCCCTAAGTCCAAACATTCTGGCTCCTTGCAGGCCCCGCAGCCAGTGGCTGTGATCTGAAGCAGTTACCAGCACTTACACGTGTGGAAAGGGCTCCTTCAAGGCCCCTTCCAGAAAAACAGGGCGGAGGGGCTGCCATACGCCTGGGATCCTGGGGAGGCTTGTTCCCGTCCGTCCTGTGTTTAATCAAGAGCCCATTGAGGGGGGCACGTCATCTCTCCACTCGTCTTTCCCTCTTTCTTCACATGCAGAATGTATTTATTTATTTTCGTCTTTGTTAACAGGGAAGTTACATAAAGTCGAAGGAATTTCAAGACCGAGAAAAAAGACCTATTCAGTGGAAGCTAGCGAGTTCATTGCTGATGGTGCAGTCTGATTTATCTAGAAGAAAGGACCGAAGGGGAAAGGGCAGCCCTGCAGTCGATGATAACCTCGGGTTAGCATAATATAAACTGTGCACGTTCTTTTATCCATCGCAACTGAATGAACCTTTGTGCGCCTGACGCTGGAAAGCAAGCCCAGGGCTGGGTGGTGCAGAGGCCTCCAGGAGCTGTGTGCCGTCCAGATGTCTGTGTGGCCTGCCCAATCCTCTGCCCAAGGACCTCACAATCCGCAGCTCTTTTAAATGGCTTTCTTGTCACACGGTCTCGCACTGTGACGCTTAGCAAACTAAAAATGCTGCTTCATAAGATATAAAATGTAGGAGCGATGACTCTCCTACACACGGGTGTCAAAACATTTTATTTCACTTCATTCCTATTTCAAGCCAGAATTTGGTTGAAAGTTTTAAAAAAACATACATCAAACAGCTAGAATCCAGAGGCCTACCCAATGAGTTTGCTTATTTTTCTTGGTAAATTAACAGGTTGGTTGGGTAATGTGCAGACATATGTTTAGTATTATATATCAAAATCCCTGAAAGAATTAATATTCTTGGATTCCCACAGCTTCACCTCTAGAAACTAGAAACTAGAACTAACACACTAAACATATA